TATTTTGAGGGACCGCGAGACAATAGACGTAAAACAATAAATTTAATTTTAGATAACAACCATTATAACCTGATAATAAGCTTAACAGCTGCATTTGCTACATCATACTATTGCGAGTCGTGTAAAAAACGCTTTGCAAGTAGGGGCAGACATCTTAAATGTCCTTATATATGCCCAAATTGTCATACTTCACCACCCATTTTCTCTCCCTGTACGAGACGAGACAAAAGAAACACTTCTCTTCTTTTCTCGTTTCGCGACATCACTACGCAACGTCAACAAAAATTAAGTCTAATTATCGGCGCACCAGACCCGTTTTTTGTTTTTTTTACTTTAGCAATTAAGTAAAGTTTCTATATATGATCTATATGCGTAAGTGTTGTTTGGTGGCGAAATTAATTTTTGATTTAAATAAACATCAACCTGACTAAACATTGAATGTAGCAAATTATTTACAGGTCCTATCGATTTTTCGCCCTCCAATTCATTTTTGTAACTGGAATTATCTGGTTTACATATTTTAGCTTCTATGTGCAGTAAAGTATGGGACAGATCCAAATATTCGTCGCCTATGCCAGGTATAACAAATTCCAGAGGTGCTTGATCGGTTAGAGATGAAAGAGGTTTATAATGAATCCACTGTCCTGACTCTATACTAGTTTGAGTTGATGGTATAGCAAATAAGTCCAGTTCACTTTTAATACATTCACAAGATTGATTATGGATAAAAGACATCGTTTTTATTTATTTAACCAAAAATATCTTCAAGTTTTTGTTTTTTAGGTTTTCGTATGTTCTTACTGCAGATGGTTGATGGTTTTTGATTTCTTTTAGTCGTTCTCTTTCTTTTTATATGTTTACCAGACCCCACCATGTCGTCAACTTTTTTCATGGCTTTAACTTGTAAATTTTTTGTGGTTTCATTTAAGCGCTCTTTAAAAGAAGTTTTTGGTGGTTTACTTTGAATAACATCCTTGAGAAAATTAATACCACCATATGCTGCCTCTGTGCCCAATGTTTTTACGCCACTTTTAACCAAAGGAAATATAGTTCTAAATAAACCTTTTAAAAAACTTCCGACTCCATGCCCTTTTTGATAGTAAGCGCCTTTATATACGGTGCCAACACCAGACCCTGCTTGATTAACATAGTAATCGTTATATGGACAATTTACAGTCATTTTATTCTTCTAAAATGAAGTTTAACACAGACAGTCCCGAATAAGAATGGTACAGTTTCACCAGTTTCAGTCCTTATATCAATTTCGATATTTTCAAATTCACGTTTTAAAACAGGTACGTAGTGAGGTGGTGAGGATATTTTCATTTTTTGACTCCCGTAAATATATTTTGAATTATCAACGCTTACAACCCGAATAAGTTTAGCTAATGTATCGCCTACAAATTGAGGACTTATAATATCACAATAAATAAAAAATTGTGACGGTAATCCCAAAATTATATTTGACGGGTGTGGTGCATTGCATATTTTTAAAATATCTTGATCCGGCTCAAATCCCAATTGTAGAGCAAGATAAGTTGAAAAAACCATAGAAATTACACTGCTTTCTTGAGGAATGTTTACAGATACTTTATGTGTGGTATTATTCATATTAAAAGATATGCCCCTTCCTATTAAGTGCGTATTGGCATTTAATGCTGATAATAAATCCTCTATGTTATAGTAGCTACCTGTACTGATTCTTACTTTTTCATATACATAATCTGTTTTTCCATCAGTTAGTTCTTTTAAGTATATAATATTTTGGGTTTTTCTCACAGTCAGAAGCGAACAAGGATATTGAAATTCTGTTATGCCTACTTGCCATTCTCCCTCAAGATGAATTGAACTGGGCAATTGAGTACTAAACTGTGTTGTTTTATTGTTTGGAAAATATTCTCGAGAACTATTACTAAGCAGAGTCAAAAAAAAATCGTTTTGCATTATTGTAAAGTAATATTTTCCTGGGGGATCCAAGAATTAAATTTGTCAGGGTAACCTCTCCACTTCACGTATACTTCACGTATGCCACGATTAATTCGCTTTCTTAATATTTTATCTATTTTAAAAGCTGTATCTTCAGAAAATGTTACTTTTTGAAGTTCGGGTTCGTAGAAAATGCCTTCTACAGACTCGTTTTGTAAATCGCATAGTTTATACACCGAATGTGGATGTCTATTTATAACTTTTGATATTTTAAATATTTCCAAAGTCCAATTAGATTCATAACCTTTTTCAAATACATGTTTGTACTTGGAAATTCTAACGAAATCATTTAGTTTAAATTTATTTTTATTTTGGTTTTTAGCCGTTATTCGAAAAGCATTATTATAAACCTCCAATATGTTATTTTCATTGACATCTATTGGGGCCATTTTAATTGTCCTGTGTTTTGTTTTATTATACGTATCTACTAAGGTTTGCAATATATTAATGTACTTATAATTATTATTGTATGTAAAATACTTAAACATTTTTTCTTTAAGCGTTCTATTAAATCTTTCTATAATACTAGCTTTTATATCTGGATTTTCGGCCTGTATATGATTTATGTTATATTTTTTAAAACACTTTTTTGTTTCACTTCCTAAAAATTCAAGACCCTTGTCTGAATGTAAATTAATCGGAATTCTATTAGAGGTTTCAAATATATCTTGAAAAGCCCTAGCAACTTCCTTGGATGTTTTTGTTTTTAACATTCTAACCCATGCATATTTACTAAAAACATCAATGACTGTTAATATATATTTTATTTCATCATTAAAATTACTTAAACTTTTTAAATCAATTAAGTCGGCTTCAAATAAATCATCGATATTTGTTACATGATATTTATTTCGTTTAAAATTTTTAACAACACGTTTATGTAAAGTATAAGTTTCTTGTTTTTGCAACCAGTTTTTTATTTCACTAACACTATTATTAGGTACAGCTTCTTTAATTTTCTTAACAGATGAAAAAGCGGATACTTGTTCCGGGTTATAGTATAAATTATTCATGGTTTAAACTTTTCCCAATTTAGAGCTGATAGTGTTGATTGTCTCGTCTTTTTAGGGGGTGGAGGTGTATTTTCTATCTTACTATTGCTAGACGATTGTTCCTGTTTCGATTTTAAAAGCGTACTATCTTTTTTCTTGTGGTCTTTAAAAGTTATAGGACTACTGAAATAGTCTGTTTCGTCACTCGAGGATTCGCGAGTAGTATTTATGGGGGTCGTGTAGTCTATGAAGTGATTTCGATATGTTTTATTTCGGATAAATTCTAGAGGAGTGTTAATTTCTTTTAAACTCCGAACCACGGCATCTCTGTTTTTCATGTCTTTGGGTTGACGGGGACGCAATATATCATTAACAACATCAATAATATTTGAGTCTTTTAAAAGTTGATTATTAACTAGAATCACTCCATTCCTATTCCATTTCAAATTGTCATTTTTAGAAATGTGTTGTAAAAGTAAAGAGGCTTTTTTCTGCATGTTTTTAGGTACTGTTTTTAAAATATCGTCAACTGTTAAACTTTCATTTTTAGTTGAAAATGTTTTGCCCTCTTCACCCTCTTCTTGGTCATTAAGTATTGGTAACTTAATTGATTCTCGGGCCATATTGGAGAAATGCAAAAATCTTTGTAGAACTTGCTGATACTCTACCCATTTTTCATGGTCATTTATTTTTGAATTTAGAACTTTATGCATTTCTAGATCCAGTTTTGAAAGTGTTTGTGGATTAATATTTGTCGAATCTTGTATTTTTTGAAATGATTCAGGATTTATTAAAAACATTTTTTTAGCATGCTCCATTTTTAATTAAATAAACTACTTAGTACACCACTAATTAATGGTGCAAGTATTAAAGGCAATAGAGCACCCCCTTTTTGAATTAGGAACTTTTTCTTTTTCAATAGTGAGTCGTTTTTTTTTACAATTTTTCTTAATATGTTTTTATATGGTGTAAGTTTTTGTTTTTGTATTGAAGTAAGAGGAACTTTTCCTTTTATTGTATTATGAACACACTCACACAAACAAAGTATTAAACCTCTATCTGCACTTTTTAATATAGCTTTTCTTTGTCTTGGACTTGCTTTGGCAAGAAATTTTAAAACAGCTGAGTTCTTGACGACTGTCTCGGATATTATAATTAAAATGATTTATTTTTAAAAAGAATCTCTGTTATATAACATACGGTATTATTATCCCTTCTTCTTTCATAATAGAAAAAAGTGTATTTAGATAAAATGAGAATTGGTTTTTTTCTGTAATAATAATCAAATATGGCTTTAAACATTATTTTTATTTATTTTGTATGACAATAACACGTATCCGGACCTTCAGTATTTTCATCTAGAGACCATGGACATGTGATTAAGTGTTTTCCATGTATACTATTTTTCACCTCTAAACACGGATGTTTTTTCGTAGAGTTTATTGTTTTTATTCTTCTATTTGTATTACAGTCTGTATTAAACCTCTGTTTGTCGCAAAACACAATATGCCATTTATTCACATTTTCGATATTGTATTCATCAGCCTGTATGACTTGTATAGGAGAATGTTCTTGAAGTTTCGCATCGGTCTTCATGGATTGGTCAAAACGCTTATCACTGTTAGAGTTATACATTTTTTCTTTTTTTGTTGTAAGTTTTTCAACTGCATACACATTAATGATCAAAATAATTTTAATACAGCTATTTATATTTTTTAAAATCAAAGTACCTTTTTTCTTTTATTTTTAGATATATTTATGTGGCAAAAATGCGTTTTCTATTGTTAATTGACATTCCAATGACGTCTTTCGTTTTTTCTAGAATATTTTTTGGAAAGTTAATCCATTAACGACTTTTCCAAAATACGTTTTCTATTGTTAATTGACATTCCAATGACGTCTCTCGTTTTTCTAGAATATTTTTTGGAGAGTTAAAGAAATTTTAGAAACCACGTCAGCCACGTCTAGTGACTTTTTATTTCTTTAAGTTTATTAAAATTTAAGTTGGAAACCCTGTTTTTTTTCACTACGCCATCTACCATTATTTGATTTAAACCTATAAAACAAATATAGCTATCTATATTTTACCAACGTTAGTTACACTATTTATCCATAGGGGGCCTATTTATTTAGTTTTATTTTATTTACCTTATCTAAAACAACGCCATCTACCATTATCTAATTTAAACATATAAAAACAAATAAAGCTATCTATACTTTTACCAACGTTAGTTATGCTTTTTGTCCATAGGGGGCGTAGTAACTTTTTTACTTATTTATCTAAAAACCAGATCCACGGATCGAGAGGTCCGTGGCTCGGTTCTCGACAGGGCTTTTTTGTTTTTCAGAAAAATAAAAGAGATTATTAAGGTACGCTCAAACATCAATGCACAATTTTATGTGAAGGCTTGGTAGTCGAATTGGTTAGGGCAGTTCGCTTTGAACCAGGTCTATATGGGTTCAAATCCCAGTTCAGCTTTTTATTTTCTGAAAAATAAAAAGAGAAAACTTCATTGGAATGTCAACAGTGTTCTCAGTTCCCAACAGTTTTTCTTTTTGGAAAGCATTATGCGTACGATCGCTTTGCACGCATCATTTTCGTCTGCGTTCTGCATAATCCATCGTCTAAATTCCTGAAGGGAAAGTAGGCACTGAACGGTTGCGTTGGCGTAGCAAGAAACTCCGTCCGAGTTTTTCAGACCTTTGTTATCGTACGATTCGCGGTAGTCTTTGTACGACGACGAGCTTTGTATGCTTGTCGACGATATTGACATCGCGCTATCGTCGCTCTTTTTTTCGTCGGCGATCGAACCGTGTTCGGAAGGATCCGCACTGATGGACATTGCAGACGAACTCCGTCTGTCGTCACTTTCGTTCGACAATGGACAGAGATCGTCGTCAACGTCCATCGTTGCCGATTCTACCAGCTTATCCTCTTCCGCCTTTGGGCGGCAGATAGCTTTATCGGATAGTCGTGTCGATATCGCAAGGTTTTTGCTGTGCACGGTGGCGTGCGTTTCGCTTCGGACGAATTCGCTTCCGTGTAGCGGATGGACGAAAGAGCAAACAGCGTGGTAGTCGATAGTGGTCGTTATCGATTCGAGTTCCAGCGATGGGAAATGGTCCACGACTTGTTGTCGGTCTTTGGTGTCGTGCCATTTTCCGATCAACAGGTACTTTGCTGTATCGTCGGTCGGCATCGCGCCATCTACGATTAATGCTCCTTCGAAAACCTGGGTGGGGTTGGGTCGCTTGTTCAGGACAATAATTTTGGTTGCATTATTGTCTTCGCCCAGGTGAACGTTGATCAGTTGGTGCGTATCAGCCCCGCTGACGTAAGTGCTGAGTTTAAGCACCGGGTCTCTGTAAAAGCAAACAATATTAAACAAATCGTCAATCGAACGGAAGATTTGTTGACGGAATTCGTCGTTTAGGTTTGGGTACTGACTTACGTCGTTTTCGTCCGCACCTTCGTCTTCGAAGATTGCTAGGTTTGCGTTTTTAAAGAGGGGGTTATTGCGAATCAAGGTTAGTTCCTTGTTCAGGAAACGAACTGATTGATATGTCACGAGAATCGAGCCTTCAACGAATTGCTCGTCAAACTTGGTGACCAGGCTTTTGTTTACTCTCAAATTAATCAGTTCGTTTCCGTTGGAATCGAGCTTGGTCGAAACGGGTTTTTTAAACTTACCAAATATGTACAGGCCGTTTATCGTGGTAGCCCGGCTGCATGCCACGTAGAGCGCGCTGCGCATCATACCTGGTTTCAGATGGACGGCCACTTGTTGGTATGTGCCTCCCTGTGCCTTGTGAATCGTGATGCCTTCGGCCACGAAAACAGGGAACTGCTGGCGTTCGACGTTGACTGCGTTGCCCTTGCGACTTTGAATTACTCGTGCCGCTTTTTTGATGGGCGTCCAGGTGTCGGGATGGCCGGCGGCCGCGACCTGGTCGCGCGCCTTTTTCCGACAATTGACGCCCACGTCCCCGTCCATGAACTCGATCCAGATCTGTTTGGGGGTTTGATCGTTGTCGTAGTCGATCTTTTTCAAGATACCGGTGGCACCGTTCACGATGCCATCGTTGGTGTCGATGTTCATCGATATCATGTACCTCGCTTCTACCTGTAACTTAATGGAATGCATTAGACCGAAGCACTCGGTTTTTTTAAGAATGCGTGCTCGTTTAAGCAGCGCTTCCTTTACCTTTTCCGGGCAGCTACCTTTGATTATGTCGGTTGCGACCGACTCGGCGCTTTCCGTTTCGAATTCGGACAGTCGATGGTGGTTGTACTGATCCACTTCAGCGTTGGTAGCAAACAGGTGGATAATGTTGTCGGGAACGATCATTTTTTCGTCCACCTGTCGTTTGGCGAACAACTGAACGTCCGTGACGGACATTTTGTTACTCGCCATGTTGTTAAGGGCCTCGGCGAATGCGAGGTCCTCTCGCTGGCGCATTATTTCCGTCAATTCGTAGAACGCAAACTTGTCCCACAAGTAGGTTCCGCATAGCAGTCCGTACGGGTTGCGCTTGTTCGGCCGGAAAATCCACTGGTCGCCCACCGGCGCCAGTTGGTTCAGGTCGCCGAACATGATGATCGGGATGTCGCCAAAGTCGCAGTTGTTTTTGAATATTTGCTGCAGACGCGTGTGTATCTGCGCCAGCATGGTGCTACCAACCATGCTGAATTCGTCGATGATTATCAACTTTAGCTCGCTCAACAGTGTGTAGAGCGTGTTGGCTTTGTCGTGGCTGAGCGGCAAGATGTCCTCTTTGGACGTGTTGACTGGGATGCCGAACGACGAATGGATGGTGAGGCCTCTTATGGCGAAACTGGCTTTTCCCGTCGGTGCCGTCAGCATTATCTTTATCGTTTCCGGATTGTTTCCGGGAATCGAGTTGAAATGGCGGAGCAGAGATTGGTAGATCGCCTTGATCAGTCGGGATTTACCGACCCCCGCTCCTCCTACTACCACCTCGTAGAACTTCTTTTTGGAGATGACGTTGTCGAGCACGTGGTTTAGGTACTCGTGTTGTTTGTTGTTGAGCTGGGCGATTATTTCGCGAAACTCTTTTTCCTCTATCTGGTAAGGAGTGGGAAAAGTAAACGTATCGTCCTTACCTTTTTTGTTGGTGGACTTTGGTGCTCGGGGAGCGTCACCTTTACCCTTGAGTAATATTGGTTCGCCGTCCGGTTTGTCGACGTAGTAGACTTCGTATTCCCTGTCGGGTACGAATTCCGCATCTTCGAAACCTAGATCGGCGTTTTTTTCGGCCAACTCCATAGCAGCTTCGAGTGTGTGCTGCTGGAGACGGTTGAACTCCTCGCTGTTTGCCAGGATGGTTTCTTTGTACGCCACGTAGACGGCTTCGTGATCAATATTGATCAACTCTCTGAGCTCGTCTCTCCACGGTACGTACAGCATCAATTGAACACGATAGTATTCGAGTGGTTCCTGCAAAAGACCCGGACATTTGAAACTGATTACGCTCGGTTTGTTTCTCAAATGTAAGTAAGCAGACTTATCTTTTAGTTGCAAGTCGGTTTCCTTTTGTTTTGCGGTGTAATACGCAATAAACCGAGCCAAACATACGTTCTCGAGGCTGTCTGGCCTCTGGACGTAATGGTCGATCTTTCCCAACTTGTACACGTCCGTGTCATCTTTGGTCATTTGTAGGAGTTCGTGCTTGGGTTTGAGTATGCGAACTCGCTTGTCCATCGGCTGCGTGTTTATGTAGATGTTGATTGTGTCAGCCTCGGACATGTGTAGTTGCAAAAGGTCGTATGCTGCCTCTTGCGCGCTAACCTATAAAAAAAATATAGTCAATTAAATGTCATAACATTAAAATTTTAATCGTGGAAAAAAATTTTTAAAAAACAATAAACTTATGGACAAAATTATTGAATATTTTTTTATATATTTTATTATGATCTTTACTACATTTAATAAAAAGTAAATTTACGTTATGAGTTGATGGTATTTATCTAGATTGCGAACATGTTCATTGCTTTAATATATTTTTTATAAATGACTTTAAGAAAAATACTTACAAAAAAATAAAATGACTTTAGTTGTTTTTAGTAGAAATAGATGAGTGATAATGATTTGCATTTAAGTTTAACTTTTAAGTACTATAAATTATCTACGGATTTTTTGGCATAAAATGGCTATAGACGCCATTTATAAATTAAATGTCGCTGACTTCACAAACTTTAAGCTCACCCGTAAAGATATATTTACAAAGCTTGACACGTAAATAACTATTATAAATGAACCTTAATTGTTAAAATTATTTTTAATTAAGGAGTGAATATGTACAGGGTGGCTCAGTTTTTAGTAGTTGGATTTTACCGATGTAAAAAATTATTTTAAGTAAAAAGGTCCCTGAAAAGTCATATTCAAAAAGGTACTTTTTTCCAAAACACTAGGTGTTAAATTAATAATATTTTTAAGGATTTTCTTTCAAATTATAAGAAAAAATTAAATTTAGTATGCAATTATATCCAAAGGAATCATTTAAAGTTTTTTTGTTTTTAATATGCACCTTATAATATTAAAAAAAAATTACTTGAACAATATGTTTAGATAAAAATGCATTCCAAATTTAAATAATTATCTTTTACATCTTGAAACATATTAAAGAAAATATCAAACGTTTATTATCATCCTGTATTTCAAAAAGTGACAATGTGTATGTTTTTTGGAACATTTTTAGTTTACCTCTCAAATAATAATTTTTGAAATGTATTTTATTTCAAAATTAAAATTGCATTACTTTAATTGTTTAAACAAAAAGTACTCCTTAAGTTAAATCGACAAACAAAAATAATGAGCATAGTATTATTTATAATGAGATAAATATTATAAAATCACATAAAAAATTATATTTACCTCGGATGCGTTGAGAAATGTTTTTCCGAGTAGCCTGAACTGTTCTATTGTCTCCACATTGTTGTTTTTAACTTCGTTCATGGCCTGGGCGAGGATTTTTGACACGCCTCTGTTGGACTTGTTCATGTAGGCGACTATGTATGTTAGGCAGGCGTACGCATCCAAAATGTATTGGATGTCCATGTTGGAGCGCTGCAAAGCCAAGATGTCCTTGTTGAAGTTGTTGACAAAGGCATCTTTCGGTCTTCGTTTTAACATTGTAGTCGCCTTTTTGGTGACGGTTCTTAAGGATTCCAGGTAGGATACTTTGGTTAATCCCATTTTTTCGAGGAATCCTTGAAACGTCAGGTCATCCAGATCCTCCTTGTTTGTGCTCAGGAATTCTTTGCACTTTTCCACTGCGTCAGTTGCCGCTCTCCACGAATCAGCCGTAATGTTCAACGGTGAATGTGGATAGATGATGGTGGTTTCGTCCATCGGTAAACACGGAAAGTTGAATCTGCACAGTGTTTTGCCTTTAAATTCTTTTTTGCACGACTTGTTGTGTCTGTGCTTCTGTAAAGGCATTAAATCTACTACTTCGGGCAGTTCGCTGTCGCAAGTTACGTATTGGTCGATAAAATCGCACACGATCTTTTTTTCTTCGTCGGTAGATCCTGGCTCGACCGACGGCGCGTTTTCGTGCCAGCACAACATGTGTACGTGCGGACTGCCTCGCTGTTGGAACTCCACTCGGTAGTAGTAGTGGATCATCGGATGTTGTTTGAAAACGCTGAACTGGGATTTTAATTGGTTCAGGAGTAGGTGGAACCTAAAAGATAAAAATGTACATTAATAAACTACGTAATTTGAATGACTGATTAAGTTACCTGTTGTCGAAATACCGAGCACAAGTGATAGGATCGGTTCGGATCAGTCGACATTTGTCTTCTGATTTCAAGTTCAGCGCTTCCGTTTCGCTCAAGTGTTTGCGGTCCACCACTTGGCTAAGTATGACCAGTAGTTCTGGCCAAAGGGATTCGGCGGCGCTGATCGTGATGAAGAACGTTGGCGCGCCAAATTGACGCACCATCGCCATCAGCTTGTTCTTTTGCAGTTCCCAGTAAGCAGGTGCCGATCTGATGGAACTCATAAACCCAAATCCTTGATCTTGCTTGATCAGCTGCTTCAGGTAGTCGATATTCATCACGTCGGCCACCGTGTGTTTTCTGCTGGTTCTGTCATCCAGTTTTCTTATGGCTAATTGGATGGCAGTGTTGGTGGCAAGCAGTTGTTTTTTCTTGAACATGAAGAGCAAGAAATCGGGCCGTGCGAACCGTTTTCATCCTCACGATCGAATTCGGACTCCACTGTCTGTTTGGTCGGTTGCTGGGGTGGCGGTATTTCCGCAGCCTGTTTTTCCAGAATCGAAACTTTCTCCAACACGTCCGACAATTGAGAGATCGTACTGAAAGTTTTATCGAAATCGTCGTCGACGTTATCGTTGTGTTCGATTTGTACGTTGCCAACTGCGTCTCTTTCGAGTCCATCCACCCAATCTGGGTTTATGTTGACGTTGGCGTACAACGGCTGCGTTTTAAGGAATTCCAGTGCACCCAGTATTATAGCTGGTCGTACTGTCTCCAGGATGTAGTGGCTATCGTGCGCCTGTCTCCTTTTCAGCTTAACCTGAATGGTTTGTGTATCGTTCAGGTTGCGTGGCAGGACTGATACCACGGACGATGTGTCGAGCGGCACGTTTACAATGCTTCCCTTTATGGAGCACTGCTTTTCGCGACCGAAAGCCCGTATCTGCATGAACGGGATTCTAAGGGCCACCAGTCGTTCCTCCAATGTGGACAGATCTCTAAATCTTTCGGGCAAGTCGAAAATAATTTTGCATTCGCTTGCGCAATAGTTTGAGTGTTCGTCTTTGCGAAGGTAATCTAAGCAAGTGCGGCAAAACTGGTTCGAATCCGGGTAATTGAAAATTTTCTCGTACAATTCCGGACGTTCTGTTCGTACCTTGTCCAGTTTTGGAGTTTTCGACATTAATCTGGGGAAGCAAAGCCGCAGACACGATGTGCATACTCCCGTGGGACCTTCTTTAATCATGTGGCGAAAGTATTCCACAGAATTTTTGGCCACATTTCGAGGCGGGAAGTGAATGGGTGTCGGTGTTTCAGTCGACTCGACGACTTTCTTGCGCCGCTTGGCTTCTTTTTCGCGTGCTCGTTCCACTTCTCGGTAATTTTCGCTTTTGCGTTTTTGCGAAATTCTTTCGGCCTCCACTTCGAGAAGAGATGAATCAAAGAACCTTTGTTGGGATTTCTTAATCTGAAAAATATTGGTAAATTACGAATTTGTTTACGTTAATAGAAACGATTGTTACTTACTTTATCTCTTTCTTTCTCACTTTCGCGAAAACTTTCATCTTGCCTTTTTTTGTGCAAGTATTCTTTGTGAAGCTGGTTATGTTCCTGCTTAACATTTTCGTTTTGTCGGACTTCTCTTTTAGTTGTTCTGTCCGTTTCCTTTTCACTTTCGCGAAAGCATTCATCTTGCCGTTTTTTTAACATGCATTCTCTGTTAAGCCGGTTATGTTCTTCTTTTACGATTTCGTTTTGTCGGACTTCTCTTTTATTTGTTTTGTCCGTTTCCTTTTCACTTTCGCGAAAACTTTCATCTTGCCTTTTTTTGGACAAGTATTCTTTGTGAAGCTTGTTGTGTTCCTGCTTAACAGTTTCGGTTTGTCGGACTTCTATTTTATTTGTTTTGTCCTTTTCCTTTTTATTTTCGCGAAAGCTTTCATCTTTTCTTTTTTTGGACAAGTATTCTTTGTGAAGCTGGTTATGTTCTTGCTTAACAGTTTTATTCGTTCGGACTTGTTTTTTACTTGTTTTGTCCGTTTCTTTTTCAACACCACGAAAATCTTTGTTTTCTCGTTTTTTGGACATTGCTTTTTTAGTTTGAGTGTTAATTTGTTTTTGGGTTTTTGAATTCTCCCTTTTTTTTTGTTTGGAAATCTGAATATAATAAAAAGTAATTATAATATTTACGAACACAGTTTAATTTTTATTGGGTCTCCCTGTATATATATATATATATATATATATATATTAGGGTGGAGCGAAATTTTTTTTTCCTTAGCCTGGGGGTGGAATTTGTAGTCTATAAAAAAAGAAAATTTTTTAAATAAAAAAAAATTTTTTTACTCAACGTCTTGAGGTGGCCCACTGAGTTTTTAAATTAAATTTAAGTTAAAATTCTTTTGAATAAAAAAAAAATTTTTTTGGCTTGTAATCTTCAAATTTATCTAAAAATAAACAAATTTGATTGTGTTCAACTCGAAATTCGCTCTATTGCCTCAGAAAAGCATGTTACTATTTTGGAATTTTTTTAAAAACAACTATAATGACCACAAATTTTTTTTTTAAGTTCATAACTATTAATTAGCAAGAAAGAGGACACTCCGCAGTTTCCAGAACACTTTTGAAATTTTTTTTTATTCAAAAGAATTTTAACTTAAATTTAATTTAAAAAATCAGTGGGCCACCTCAAGACGTTGAGTTAGAAATTTTTTTTTTATTTCAAAAATTTTCTTTTTTATAGGCTACAAATTCCACCCCCAGGCTAAGGAAAAAAAAAATTTCTTTTTTTTATATATGTTTATATGTTTCTTTTAACTTGAGACAGCTCAATATCTCGAGAAATACGCATTACACGGAAAAATGTCTTAAATAAAAGGTTAATGTAACCAAAGGGGACATTATTTGGTGCTACCGCTAGCCACCCCCTACCCCTCCTTAAGGGTGAAACGGGGGGTAACTTTGGAAAGTCAAATGGAATGACCCGATTTTTTTCACAGAGTTTGGTAGTACATAAAAAAATGAATAACTTTTATTTGAAAGTTTTTTTCAATTTATCAACAGATG